TAAGTTCCATTTGAAATTATGGTAAATCTATTGGACCTAAATGTGCTACTACATGTCCAATGTGAACTAGTCCTGTTTCTTAATCGATTGTTTGCTGCCAACACTTTTTTAAAGTATATCAAACATTAACATAACATTATTTCGGTTATAGTCTATTTAGACTATCATACTTAGCTCATTTTAAAGTTCTTTTTGATAGGAGGGAGGCTTTTGTTGGATTTCTCATTCAAAATCCATTCGGTACGAGTATAGTAAATCTCTTTTTGTTAAGTTCACGGATTCAGAGAATGCTTCCCAGAAAAACTATAATTCGGTAATTGTGCAAGTTATATTAAGTTATATTAAGAGCAAAGGGAACATAATGGAACATAATTCCAAACAAGAACTTAAAAAGATTTTTAACAAGAATATAATATTAAATAATTTATATAAATACACTCAGTAGTATTTCAAACAAAAAAAACTATTATTCATTTTTTTATTTTGTTTCGCTGTTTTAGGAGTATTCAAGTTTTAAGTAAGAAAGTGCAAACACTTAAAGTTCGGTTTAACAATGCACAATTAAGAAACACTTAAGCGTTATGTGAGTTAATTTTTACAGTGTGAAGATTTAGAGAGGGATTATAATTACGAATAATATGACAATAAGTATACATACTTATAACCGTTATACGGTTACGGTAATTATACTTACTTAGCATTTTTAGTTTAATTCCGTATAGATTTTGTATAAACTTTTTACATAAAATGGCACATATTCATATATTTATGTTTATTTGTCGAGTTAAGTACAGTAGCGGAAAAATTACTTAAAAATTTGAACCATTACCTTCACAATCAGACAACCATTGTTATCATTTTTGATGAACTTCAAAATAATCAAATATTTATTTAAGTCAATATTTTACTGAAAAGCAAAAATATTTGAGCGAAATAGCAAAATATTTAGCATGCTAATTTATATTACTCTCTTTAATTTTTTTATTGTAACTTTTTTTTCTGGCATGACAACTCTCGAATTCGAAATCTGTACCGTTGACTCGTGTCAATTTTGACGAATTGTGCACTCGTTTTTTATCGTTTTATATTTGTGACAATCGTAGAAATATGGCCGCCGCCTATTTAAAACATCAAAGAGGAAAAAAATTTTTCAAATTCATTTTCGAGCAATTAATATAAATATCATTCATTTTTCGAAGTAATGTTATTATACAATAAAACGTTAACTTCGGTGAACCACCGTATTATTCCACAACTATCTAAAAGGTTGACTTTCTGAATCTTCGTTAGTAAAGTTCTTTAGGCAAAGTCTTCCACAGCGAAAGATTTCTCAGATTTATAATTTACTAAACTTGCAAAAATTTTAATTGCTTTTGCATAAAAATGATCAAGTATATTTTATTTTTGTTATCCGATAAATAAATAACTTAATTAAAAAAATAATCCCTGCCCCACACTAAACTTTAACTATACTAGAATCATTATCATTTATTTATTTTCTAACTGATGACGGACCGTAGATCAGCATATCTTCCTGTACATCCTGAGTTGGAAGTTGTTCAAATCTTTTTGAAATCTTAATTAAGTAGGATATTTTAAAGTTTACGTCCAAAGAGTTGTGGTATAGTATGTTTAGCGTCAATGATATATTCAAATTAATAAAAACAGATGCCGCATGGTATGGTACTGTCTATATTTTATGCGCTTCATAATAGCATTATTAAAAAAAAATTTATACAGATAAATTAATGCCTTTTACTTTCACCGTAATATAATTATAAAGGTTTTTATATGTAAAACTGTTAAACATTAAAAATTCTTATAGTAAAACCATATGTTATACATGAATTCCTTAAAGCATAATTTATTTATGCTGCTCTTTTTTATGTTGAGCAAACTTTTTTTACTCTATTTTAACTATCAATACTCTCAAGAAAATGGCTGCCATGTACAGTGCGGACAAATATCTTGAGTGTAGTGCCGTTGCGGTATGATTTCATATCGTGATTTACAGCAGTACTGTATCGCATATATTTATAGCATGTCTATAAGGCCACAAGTTTAATTTTAATCTATATCGTTTACACTATATGTTGAAGATTAGCCTTGACATTTATTTTGTTTTGTGAATTTTGATAAATTTTTAAAAAATTAGTGCGTCGCAGTGTTCCTTTAAATATATCTCCTTGAAGAACAAGGAGTTTCTTTAGTTATGTATTGTGTATTGCGTCACTTTTTCCTTTTTTTTTACAAATATTTTTACTTCTCATAACAACGTTCGTATTTTTCATTTGGATGTTCGTTATGTACAGGGATGTTATATGGCTGCCACAAGCTTTTGAAATTTAACATCCAATTCTATATATATTGAAGAAAAATATGTAACATTAACATAGTCGCAGAGCTGTCTAGAAATATAACCACCACTTTAAACGAGATCTTCAATTAATCTCGAGCAAGAGCGGATTACTTACAATCTGGACTGTAAGTAATCGACTGTTAGTCTTACAATGTGAACGTAGTTTTATCCCATATGTCGTGCTTAGTGCTTAGTCTTTTTGGGACTTTTACATTAATTCTCTTATTTTTAAAGTAAACCTAATTAAACTGATTTATTTGACAAATACCACTGACGAAAATTAAAGAAATTAATAGTAATTTAAAACAAATTATTATACAATAATAAATGTATATTACCATTGATTACACATTTGTTTATGAATTTCATAAACTGTTTAATCACGAAATGCTAATTTTATGTGCAAACATATATTGTGTGATTAAATGATATAATATGTTGATCCATTATATGTTACCAGTAATTATTTAACTTATTCATATATAGATTTTTATAAATTTATTTGTTTTTCTCATATGGCAACACTTCATTGCTACACCTGTTTATTTCCGTCTATTTTAACGAAAAAATTATTAGCTTTTAATCATCTTCCATTTGCGTTAATCGGAATATATAGACGCAGTCTACTAAAAAAAAATTAAATAATAGTTAGTTAGTTGTGGTGGAGGGAGGACGAATCCTCCTCAAATAGCTAAGGATGAAAGCCGTTTTGAGCCCACAAAAACCTCGTAATAGTGGGTAGTAGATAGAGGGTCAAACTAGAACCAACCAGAGGCATTAACAAAGGCAAGAATCTGGCTAATGCTGATGCTGGAGATATCGCTAAGTGAGTTGAAGAAAGGGGCCCCTAGAAACTTAAACCTAGTTCTGGCCAGACCTGGACAAAAACACATCAGGTGTTCTGGTGTCATTTCTTCAAGTATTGGTAGACACGCACTACATGAGGTACCACAGGAAAGACCAAGTCTGGCTCCATGCCGTCCTATGGACCAGTGACCCGTAAAGATAGATATTAGCTTGGAAACCTCAGATTTGTTTCTACAGATTAAGTCAGAGGTTCTATATTTGGAATAAATGGGCCAAGTAGCCCTTGACCTGGCTGCTGAGACAGTAAGGGTCCAATATTTATTTATTAAATAATAAATAATTCTCAAATTGAAACGACTAATATAATGGCGTTCTTTTTCGGAGTGCGATGAAAAAATAAGTAATGACCAGAAAATGATGCCTTTTAGCAAAATATTAACAAATAATGTAAATGATACTCAGATGGGGAAGGTGATAATTTCGTGTCCTGAAATTCACATCATAACGTAAGGCTCTTTCCGTTTCAAACAACAAGTCAATTATCAGCTCCATAATTATCTGCACTATAATCAAGGTCTGCCCTAACAAGCAACAATAGACGAACGCTAACCGTTGAACCATTGGTAACATGTTTAAACCTGAGTGTTATGCCTTTGATACAGAATGGTATTATTTATGGACTCAATCTACCGCTTGAGTAATAATACAAACTTTTCTATACTTGTATATCATCAGTAACAGAATCCTCACCAGAAATAATTTCTTCAAAATAAAAGTCGTATTCAAATGTTAATTTTGCCAAATATAGTACCGATCGGAGGTTATAATACTTAACTGTGGGTATCAGCAATAAGTACTCAAGAACACGATGTTGATTCTGAATTTGCACTTCTATACAATGTTTCAGTCGCAATAAGAGTGATGAATCTTTATTTGTATCATATCAAAGTACTGAAGTACCAATGAAATCCTATGTCGTGCAACAGCTGAAGGGTGGCAGTATTAATCCTCTCAATTCATCTGTTAATGTCATTAGTTTTTAACGTCATCAGTTTATATAGAAACTTAAACAAGTTTTAAAAATGAACTGTAAACATTTTCGCGCAAGAGGTTTGGTTTTTTTTTTAAAAACTAATGCTTTTAAAGAATATTAATAATAATTCGGTATTTCCAATAATTTTTTTTCTCGAAATTTCGGTTCCACAACATACAGTACTTGTACTTTAGTTAAACTAATATTTCTAATTGAACGCAGAAAAAGTTAAAGCTCTATAACCTTTATTGGATTATTGGAATTGGCATCATTATTGGAATCAGCACTTAATAGACAGAAAAATCTGACTTCCTAAGGATTTATTGGGAAAATTTATCAGGTGGATCGTATTTAAACCACTTATTGTATTATATAAAAAAATGTAAGAATCGTTACAGGTACTCTGACAAAAAATTTTAATGTATTGTCTTTAAGAGCTAATAAAACTGGGAGTTTACTTTAAGAGAATTTGTGAGTGTTGTAGCAAAAACCGCAGACTCTGAGATATAAGACCCTGAGACCCTGATATTTCCTGGAAACTTTCATAGCGGTTATATGTTAATAAAGGTGATTATCTTATGCAGATAATAAAGCGAGGCACTACAATTTCTTGAAGTAGTTGACTCGGAGACAAACCCTAAATCAATAAATGTGGCGCAAATGATGTCTGGGACGGTGTGCTGATTTCTTTATACATGATAAGAATATAAATACATATTAGTGTACGCTAAAGTCAACATTTCTTGTTTTTATTTCAGATTTTTAATATTTGCAATAAAAATAAATATTAGTGAAAATAAATATAAATGAACTTCGATGAATTTTAATGTAGGCGGAAGTTTGGTGTGAAAATGTCCGTCCTTACAGACTTCTGAAACAGCAACATCAATATTTTGGAGATCATTTCTTTACTGCCTTGGCAGAGATACCGAAGGTAGACTTGTTAAAGCTCTTGAGCTTTATGCGAAAGACAAAATGATTTAATAAGAATAATATTGTAATATGAGGAGATATTAGCAGTTAGTGTAACTTTAGTGCTGAAAAGTGTATCATCATGCATTCTCTCCATCTATTCTAGTGAAGTATAAAATAATTTTCATTGAAGCTGTGTTGGTAATGATAAAACTCACCACTTTAACGGTTTATTAACTCTCCATTATATTGATTTTACACACTGAGCTAGGTTTAACATTCTTTAAAAGTCATCCTGAAAAATTGAATCGTCCAAATGGTCAAATCTGTTAATGCGTGTTTCTGGACATTCAACTTGCGTCGCAAAATCAACTGGTATTTTTTCATTTAATTGTATGATTGTATTGCAGAAAGCTGCACAATTTATTTCAATGAAGTCTCCAATTAATATATTGACTTTTGGATTACGACATGTATAAGGTCCGGGGATCTGTTCACTAATCCAAGGAATCATTTTCCTATCAACTCTCTTTGCTGTGCTCTTTAATCCTGAACACATTCGTAATACAATATATTTTGCATCTGGTGTTAATACAACTTGTGTTACGTAGCCATCTGTTGGCGGACGTGACATTAAGCTGTGCTGAAGAAACTCCTTGAGAAGTTCTATAGAACACACATTTGGCCACGGCGTATAAACGCTTTTGCTCGGCCAAAAATCTTTACTTAATGCATTCGAATTATATCTGTAAACAATAATCACTTGTTTACGATACTTTGTACAATAATTCAGTGTACATTTAAGAAGTGGTCCGTCTGAGGGCTTATACAGCATATCTCCAAAAATTTGTATCAGCATTCTTTGCAGTCTCATGTGGTCAGAAATATTCATGTCATAGAAATGTTGAAAGTCGAGTATAACAATTTCTCCTGACCGTTTACTGAGAAACTCTCGTATATAATGGAGAGGTGTAGTTACATCCATTGAAATAACTGCATGTGTATAGTAAAAGTCGTCATACTTTAAGCAAACACGCAAATCGAAATAACGAATACCTAACCGTAGTTGCTCAACGACTGTTGCTGTCTGTGTTTTCGCCCAACGACGTAGAAACCATGGAAGTACCCGATATAAATAACGCATTGCTTTAGTGGCATCACCAGCTATCTCAGATTGATTTGATATGCCATAAGTCATTGAATTGTGTGATCCTGCAAATATTGTTAATTAATGTTAATATAAATAAGTATAACCTCAGCTTTATGCAATGTATATTATATACAATCTTCAAGATCGTGTACCTGGAATTCCCAAATAAATAATAGACATCGCTCGTAGATGTGGTGGCAATTTCGTCATCCAGTCAGAGTTACGCATTTTTCAACTATCCTGTACTTAAAAAAACTATAATAAAATAAATAAATAATGAACAATATATCACACGTAAATTTAAAAAAAAAAGTGTTATAAAATAAATAAATAATGAACAATATATCATAATTATCGATTCCGATAATTATCGATTACAATAATGTCTATTTAAAAGTTTAAAAATAGGAATAAACATTACGAGATGAAAAGTAAAATAAAGAGAAATAAACATATGCAGCTTGAGTGCATTCAGTATTCAAAATGTTGAACTTCACCACATTGTAAGTATAGCTCTTTTATTGTAATACTGGATTCACACGAGAGATTTGTTTGTAATTTTAGCTGTCAAAAATTTTCATTTTGCATTGAAAGCAACAACAATTGACAACTATAATTACAAACAAAACTCTCAAATGAATCTAGTATAATGCAAAGCTTCATCGGATTTTTTAACGATTAATTTTCAATTGGTAAAGCTCGAGCAAATTGTAACACTCGAGTTTAATTTATAGTACTCTAGATATTTTGCTAGAGTAGTAAGATTACCCTGAAATTAACAACTGCTTTATAAAACATAAAAAATAAAGTGTGATTTGATTCGATATATATATTTATGAAAAATATAAATGTGTACTTCTTCTTCTTCTTGTTTTTGAGTTAGTGCTATTATGCACTTTTACTCTATAAAGGCTGGGGGCTTATCTCTACCCAACACTAGGCTTTAACTATGCTAAAAAATCATATCATTTATTTATCTTTTAATTGATGACGGACCTTAAATCAGCATATCTTCCTGAGACTCCAGAAGTGGACTTGAGGATTGTTAGGGTCTACTAACGTCTACTAACACTATTACAAAAATGTACTCTACTCTAAACATGTTCGTTTGGATAACAAAATTTGACAGATCGAGAGTAAATCTAGATTGAATCAAGATTTACCAATATAAAACAATATCAAAACATATACATTTTTAAAGACTTGAATCAAATTGACGGAACTTAGTTGGGAAGCTTTGATGAACCTATCGTATATTCCGGACTTTGCACCTTTTAACTACCATTTGTTTCGGTCTCTGCAAGACTCTGTTAATGGCAATAAATGAGCCGACCGAGATCCGTTGAAAATTACTTGTACAAGTTTTTCGCCGATAAACCACAGAAGTTTTATAGCGATAGAATTATGAAGCTAGCCAAAAAATAACAAGTGGTTATACTTATGGCCATTATTTTAACAATAATTATTATTATTATGGGCTATATATTACATCACTCAATAAGTCGTGTGACTGACACATAGATGGCGCAGCTATTGTCAAATCAATATGCCGTTTATGAAGTACCAACCTTCAAAAGACTATATGTAAAATTTCTTGACATTTCGATTAGTTAGAAAAAAAGTGACAGCCATTTAAGTGAAACTTCTTTTGTTATTTTCAAAATAATGGATTCAAAATAATTTCGTGTGTTAATTTATCATTGCTTCTTGATGAAAAAAAAAATACTGTATAAGCTCAGCAACGGCTTCAAAAGTGTTATCGGGACTCTGCTCCATCGAAAAGAACCATTTATTATTGGTTTGCTGAATTTAAACGTGGTCATACAGACACCGATGAAGGTGAAAGTTCTGGTCGTCCAATTGAGGTGGTTACTTCAGAAAACATAAAAAGTCCAGAAATTGGTTATAGCTGATCGTAAATTGAAATTGCGTGAGATAGCTGAGACCGTAAAGATATCAGAAGGCTGTGTGTTTATAATTATGCATAAACATTTGACCATGAGAAAGCTGCTTTCAAAGTGGGTGCCGCGTTTACTAACAGTCGATCAAAAACAACAAAGTGTTGATGATTCAGTGCATTGTTTGGCCATGTTTACATAAATCATTAATCAGTTTTTTGCATTGATATATGACAATGGATGAACCATGGATCCATCACTTAACTCCGGCATCAAAACGATCATCATCTGAGTGGACTGCAGACGGTGAACCACGTCCGAATTGTCCAAAGGCACAACAGTCATGGTCAGCTGGGAGAGTTATGGCTTCAGTATTTTGGGATGCACATGACATAATCTTTATTGACCATCTCAAAAGGAGAAAACCAACAATAGTAACTACTACGCGGTATTACTAGATCGTTTGAAAGCAAAAATTGTGAAAAAACGACCGCATATAGCGAAGAAAAAAATTTTGTTTCAAGAAGACAATCCATCATGTCACAATTCAATAAAAACTATGGTAAAATTGGACGAGTTACACTTCGAATTGCTTCCTCATTCACCGTATAGTCCAGATCTGGTCCCCAGTGACTAATGGCTATTCACTGATCTCAAAAAAATGCTCGCCGGTAAGAAATTCATCTCTAATGAAGAAGTGATTGCTGAAACTGAAGTCTGTTTTAAGATTAAAGACAAATTCTTCTACAAGCACGGCAGCGAGAAGTTAAAGAAGCGTTGGAATGATTGTATTGCCCTTGAAGGAGATTATATTGTTGAGTAAAATCGATTTTTGGCAGAAAAAATTTTTTTTCTTAATTATTGAGAGATGTGTTATTTGACTACAACAAGACATACAAGTACTAGGGTACATAAATGTTATTGCAGATGATGTAGCCGTACGTTTTTCATAGAGAGCCTCAGTAACGAAAAAGAGCATTTAACTTCACCTGCTATAAGCTATATATAATAAGGTTATATTTTCAGATATGATGTGTTATAATTAATTGATTATGAGGACTTAATTCTTTAATTTCAATAAAGAACATTTTTGTTCAAAAATATAAAGCGGAGGATGATATCACAACCAATGCTTCATTCTTTTCCACTTAATATATAAAGGAGCATCCTTAAATAAATGTTAAATGTTCGTCGTGGACTATGCGTGCTTTGGCACAAATGTTTTTAAACGCAAAATTTCACTTTAGATGCCATTAATGGATAATATATATATGTAATAGAAACACAAAGGATAAAATAGCCATTCACCTTAACTCATGCCTTATAGTATATTTCCCAAAAATAATCAATTAACATTTCACTATCCATCAGTAGACTAATTTGTTTTATATTCGCATTTCCACATTTCCACATTTTCACATTTCCACATTTTCACATTTTCACATTTCCATTATGGCTCAAGGCATGCATAAAAACATTTTAATGTGTTGAGCGATTATGTTTTTTGCCTCAATTTTCAGTTTTCCGACTGCCTTTTCCATTGATGTATGCAATAATTAAGCTAAATTATTTAAATTAAAAATCCTGTAGCTTTGAAAAATTTAAGCCGCAAAATAGTTTTATTTTCCATATTTCACTCTTTATGGGACGAAGGATGAAGGACGAAAAAAGCAACAATGCAGCTGTTGCAGCATTAAAAGTGGTTTATTTCGAAATGTTTTTGGCGCAACTAAAGTTTTGACAGTTTTGAAAATATATTTGCTGAAAAATAAAAATTATAATTAATAAAAATTGTTTTGGTGAAATTTTTATTTACGAGTGCGACTATATAATTTTCATAAATTTTGGAAAATTATTCATGCCTTTGACACGCTGCACCCACCGCCACTAACATATGGCGAATATTTCAAAAAGTGGTTTTGTGGTTGAGTTTCATTGGAATACGGAAATCACTTTAAATGCATCGACGACACTCGGTAAAGACACAGCTTAAATGCTTTAATTTCAATTTAAATTTCAATTCCGTGTCTTCCGAAGTGAAGACCTTAAATAGTTGAGGTTTGCTGAATGAGTCTATTGAGCAGTAAGTAAATTGTTTGAATGCAATTTACTAACATTCATATAAGAATCTCATGATTTGTAGCGGAAGAATTTAACAACTAGGATATTTAGGGAACATTAATCACGCGTGTATGAGCAGAAAGTGATATGCGATATTCACATATCTATATATGTTATATATATATATGTTATATTATATGTAACCTATGAGCAGAATGCAACGTCTCACTGGCTGCATACAGAGCGTTGCGTTGCAGTGCGGTGCAGTCACGCTGTTCGTCAAATGTTGCCAGTATTTAAACTTTAACGTTTATGTTGACAGCTTAAGTTTGGAAATGTTAATGAAATACTTGAGTTTCACTGTACTTCACTGTATTTCACTGCTAGTGAAACATTTCAAATGAAAGTTGCTTAAATGCAGTTGTTTAAAACTCAGAACTCACAGCTCAGAACTCAGAACTCACAAGTCAGAACTTTTACTTCAACGACAACTAGAACTACAACAACAACTACAACTGCAACTTCAACTGCAACTTCAACTTCAGTTGCAATATTTTCTGCAAGACAGCAGCTAAATAAAGTCGCTGAATTTCAGGACGAGTGCGTTTAGTTGTTGAAAATTATTTTAATGAAAAGTCCTTACGGCAACGCTTATAATGATGACATTTCAGCAAAGCGAGTGATATTATCCAACTTAGTGATGACTTAGTTTTTGTCAAGTGTGAATGAGAATTTATTACAAAACTTTGTATTGCTTTAAGTATTCTCTGTTTATAAAAATAAACGGAGTTTTCATTAAAAAAGAAGTAGAACAAAAATGTATAAATAAATTTAATTTAAATATAACAAAGAATAAAGATATAAGGCGCATTCTCTAATAGGCACAAAGTTACATTGGATATACAGACTTGATATAACAATTTGATAAAGATATATAACACTCACTTGATAGTATATTAAATTATTATGTAGAGTGGTTTGGAAGAGTACGGAATTGAAAGAACAAAAACTTTTATTAACTTATTTTTAATTATACATACATACAGCTGATTCGAGTATTACTCTATAAAAGAATAGTGTTGAAATTAAGCAATTAAAAATAACAATAAATTATTAAATCAATCATTTTACAGCTTGTTTATGATTTGGTTCCAATAAAATAAAACTCAAACACACAAGTCAACTATTGCTTTGTGTCAGTTAGCTTATTAAAACTGACTCTTAGCTTCAAATATGGCAGGGTACGAGTTCAACCCTTGGTACTTGCAGTCTCAAAAAATTATTTACAAATAATTA